CCGGCCCAAAAAATAGAATCAAATGGGCCGCTAATGCAATCCATGACATGGCAGAGGAGCAATGGATAAGAACCAACGGATCCAATGGGTCGAACCCTTCCACCTGACGTCGGCACGTCGCCGCCGCCACCACGGCCCCGTCGGTACCATGGGGACACCCAAGCTGCTCTTGAGCTTCAGGCGGGGCTTTCGTCGCTGGCTCGCTGCCTGCCGGTGCCGACTTCCGACTGCCGCCGCCGCGCTGCGCTGGTGGCCCGGCCGTCATGGGCTGGTGCGCTACCTTTGTCAAGTGCACCACGTACTGCTGCTAGCAATGGCGTCCGTCCGTCGTGCCAGCCGGGAAGGAATCGATCTGCCTTCAACGGTTCCAGCGATACGGGGCACAGGTACGAACTACGAACACGTGTGCCGTGCCCTGGTAATGCAGTACGGCACCTCCATCGCTACCGAGAGCAGGTCCATCGATGCTTGCCACGGGACTGAATTGAGTTATCTAATGTGGAGCGATCCGTAATACCCATCGGGGCCCCATTGGTTCAGCAACTAATAAAAAGGAGCATCCGGTGCTCCTGCGCTAATCAAATGGATCTCTGGTTCAGTCGCGGTTCGCTCCATGGAGCAACCACCCCCATCTTGACCCTATGAGATAGATCTGATTAGATCTCTTCAATTAGATTAATTGAAGCTGCAGATAATTCTTTATATTTTACTGTACAAACAGACTAAACCTAAAAGGCCAACTTGGAAACAAGTTTTCAATTTTACAGCTTTTGTCCTTGCCCATAGAATAGTATAGAGCTTAATGACTATTTCTTGATCTTTTTTTTTCTTTTTCAGGTACTTATCCAGGAATACATTGAGCGAGTTCATTCCACATTTTTTTTAACTTGATGAGCTGTTCATTACATCATTGTAACTTTTTCTGAGGAAATCCATGTAATTGTTATGACAAGCTATGACTCATAAAAATAAGCAATACCATCTTTGGTTCACTTGCAATTTCAACGAGTCATCGTGAGTGATCTTTCCCTATTTTATTCAAAATCATATCTGTCTTATTCATTCGATCCGATGGATACAAAGATATTCATCCATAAGCTGCTCTAATTTATCTCTCCATTCTCCAATAAGTAGCAATGCTACTTTCCCATTCCTTAGATTCCAACTGTATTTGATTTTGGTAATGTAGCTTCGTTGGGAACCTTGGTTATCTGGTATGCACTTGTGCTGTCAAACATTTCTTCCATCTAAAACACTGAACTCTTCTATATGCTGTTGCTTTAACTATATAAATTGAAGAGTTGCAATGCATTTCCTTTGGAAATTCATAAGCTGCAATACTATACAACTTTCGTTCAGTGTCAAGGCCAATTTGGCATTCTTTTATGTCAGATATATCAGTCAAACTCTGAGCTTCTGTTTCAACTTTGCCATGACATAATCTGAAATTATGAACTTGCATGTGTGTAATCTAACATGATATAAGACCTGTAACATCTCAGGATCAACAGGTATACAAGATGTATCAGAAAGTATGTGAAGATGAAGAACCCAGGTTTCAAAATCATCTATGTTGAGCCTCCAGAAAACTCACAAGCAGGTAGCTGCAGCAAAAGAAGTAACCGGAACTAGAGAGACTATTTCTCCTTTATCAATCTATTGCCTACATAACAATGCTACTTAATTACAATCAGGATCTAAATTAGACACTTTAAAAGTACATTAACTAAGAGCATAAGAACAAAGATATACAGGTGCATTCGAAAAAAAACCTAAGAGTATAAGAACATGATATACAGGTTTCAGTGTCCAAACAAGCCAACAAAAGGGTGGCGCGGCAATCTGAATTTAGTTTTATGTAAAAAAATATATATGCTACTCTGGATGGAAAACGATGTCCCTGCTTCCTTTGTGTTCGTTGCCACTTACCACTTACCGATCTGAACATTCATCATCATCAAGTCCATGTTCATGTCAAATTGGCCGTCTAAAGGTAAACATCAAGTGGCAGCTGGAGGTGCAGGCCAGCTTCAACCCCAGCTTAGCTGTGCAACAGACCACACACGCACACACAACGATCGATCTTTCCATGCATGAACGCTTGTCTTGTCACCATAATACTCCATCTGTCCAGAAAAAAATGTAATTATGGGAAAACATGCCAATCAAACTAACCTAATTTTGACAAAATTTATAGTAAATAATATTAGCATTTATATCTTGAAATAAATTTATCGTGAAAATATATTCTATAACTAATCTAATGGTACTTGTTTTGTCTCGTGAGGTGTTAGTATATTTTCATATAATTTTAGTTAAAGTTAAATCTATTTGACTTTTCGAAATATGAGAATTACATTCTTTTATAGATGGAGATGGAGGGAGCAGTACCTAGTATTTGAAGGAAGACTACACGAGTCTGTCTCTGTCGTCGTTTATTTTCCAGCAAATAACACTTACGCATCATCTGAAACTTAAAGTGTGGTTGCTCATTCCAAGAGATGGAACTAGTTCTGAGTCCAGCAGTACATTTTTCAGTTTACATGCTTTCCAGTGCGAAGTATGACATGATCGATGTTTTCAGATGAAAATGAAACAGATGTTCGAAGTTCTTTGGAGTACCATTTGTTATTGACACAACACACGTTTTCTTCTTTGATTTCAGCAATGACAATGAAACATGGGAAGACAGTAGCCTGTCTGTCGCGATCAGATGATCCGATTCTGTTTGTCTTGTATTCCTCGGTTTTTCTACCTAACATAGCACACCAGAATCCAAACTTTTTAGTGAGTTCTCAGAAAGCATATACCCAAACGAGCTGCCGTGTTCAGAGGTACAAGAATCTAAAAGGATTACCAGCATAGACTCGATCGTCTGACTGTAGTACAAAACTTCTTTCAGACACCTAAGGTACCGTTTAGTTCCCTCCCAAAATGCCAAATTTTTCAAGATTCCCCGTTACATCGAATCTTTGGACGCATGTATGAAACATTAAATATAAATAAAAAATAAAACTAATTACACAGTTTAGACGAAATTCACGAGACGAATCTTTTAAGCCTAATTAGACTATGATTGGACACTAATTGCCAAATAACCACGAAAATGCTACAGTGCCATCTCGCCAAAAATTTTGCAAACTAAACAAGCCCTAATTCAGACAGAGGTCTAACCTTGGGTTTAAATATCCTAACAACTTCGAAGATATCAATTTGAGATCAAATCGTATCATACCGGACTTTAGATGGAACTTGGAAGTGGCACCAATGGTTCAACAAAGGAGGAAAAAAGAGAAGGTGTTCTATCATTGCAACAACAGTGACCTATCATTACACATGTGTGGACACAACAGGGGCGATGGATCATTCTTTCCTTGATCACGTAGCGTTCCGTTACATATTCGTCTAGGCTGATAGTAACGGTTCAACAGACTGCCGATCATTCTAGCGAGCCTTGCTTGTTTTTTGGTCGCTTTATTTTACTTGTTTTTGTTTTTTTCACTTTTGGTCCACACATGCCACATGGTAATGATGCATGGCATGCATCAAAATTGTAGCTAGCTTAGCTTTCATACGGCCTAACTAACACCGATTACTCCTATAGTTAAGAGTTGTGTAACCACTAACTAGGTTGGTAGTTTGTACAGTGACATTGTAGCAACGAGGAAGCAAGTACGCGGTTGATTATGACCACGGCAGAAATGTGGCACGCATGCTGCCTAATCATCTTGGAAAATTCAGCGTGAAGCACCGACGACAGAGAATGCAACGGCTGCAGGTAGGGATATAATCGCATCTTCTCAGATCACCGAAATTGTGATATCGTGTTTTATGCTAACCTGTGCTAGAATTCTTCAACACATTGTTATCAGGCTGATACTGAGCACGCATCGAAACAAACTGCAATCTGCGTGCAGACGTCAAAACAAACTGAAAACAGATGGTTTGCAAGACAAAGCTGGCCGATTAAAGCGTCCCCTAAAGCTGATGAGGACACGGAAGGATGGCAATGCGTTCAATCAAGCCATGTTGACGTACGCCCGTTTATGCAGGGTTTTATGCGTCGACAATCTTGGTACAAGTCATTTCTGGATGTGAGTTTGTGCATTGGCACATTGCCGCGTTGGCGTCGGCGTCGGCGTCGTCGACGTCGTGGCTACTTGATCTAGCGTAGACGGACAAGTCTAAAAAAGAACTTTGGTGTGATGGATCTCCTGCTCGGCTACTCCTACGCCAACCACACCGACAGCGCGAGTACGCGTATATACTAGCACTTGTGCAACAGCGTCCAGGATGCGACGCCGTACCCGTCCCAGAAAACTCGGTACACCCAAGCGGCAACTGCTACTAGCTCCGATGCATTCCTGGCAAGCGAAGAGTGAAGTTGGTCGGCATTCGGCAGCACGGTAACGACGTAGCGTGACGAAGCAAGCAAGGGACCAAGCACACGCGGTAACGGCTCCGCGAGCCCGAGCCCCCGAGGCGGCGGCCTGACGGGAGCACGGAGCGGGCTCGGGCGCTCGGCGACGACGACGGGACACAGCCTGCTGGCGTCAAGGCAGGGAGGACCTCACCTTCACGGCTTCACCTCGGGCGGGAGGGAACCGACGACGAAGCGTCTTTTATTTCAGTCCGGAAACCCCGCCGACACTCCGGAGCAACGGCTCCCGGCCGTGCCGTCGCCCGGACGGGACCCCCCCAGCGCGCGCCCTGACCTGACTGGCTCCGCGCGCACCTACCGCCCCAACGGCACGCTACGACTACGCCGCGACCCACCCCACCACGTGGCCGCGTCCGACCGTGCGTTTCCCTTGCCGGCTGTCCGCCCCAAGCCGCTCGGGCCCGTAGCGCTAGCAACTTCGAGTCTCCGCCTATTTATCCCGCGCGGCAACCATCCCCCTGCCACTTCCATCTCGCTCCCCGCTCCCCTCGCTCCCACACACTCCAACGGCTGCCACTCGCACAGCACCAGAGCAGCAGCGCGCACATTAACGTTGGCGATGGCGGCGCGTGCCACCGTCATCCTCTACGCGGCGCTCCTCTGCCTGACGCTCTGCGGCACTAGCTCCCTCGCGCAGTCCCCCGCGTCCGCGCCGGCCAAGGCGCCGCCCACCAAGAAATCCACGCCGGCGCCGGCCGCCTCGCCAGCCGACGCGTCCACGCCCGCCGCCTCGCCGTCCACCACCCCGGCCGCGCCCGCGCCCAAGTCCTCCTCCAAGGCGAGCCCAGCGCCGGCCGCCGCGCCTACCACCACCCCGGCTCCCGCGTTGGCGCCGGCCAAGCCCAAGCCCAAGGCCAAGGCCAAGGCCCCCGCGCCCGCGCCCGCGCCCCCGACCAAGGCCGCCGCCCCTGCCCCGGCCACGCCTGCTCCCGTCGCCACTCCCCCCGCGGCCGCGACGCCTCCCACCGCCGAGGCGCCGGCGCCGGAGACCAAGCCCGTCGATGCCCCCGCCCCGCCCCCGCCCCCGCCAAGAAGAAGAAGCCGTCGTCTTCGTCCAAGGACAAGAAGAAGAAGAAGAAGGGCGCGTCGTCCGCCCCTGCTCCGGCCCCCGTCGCCAAGAAGCATCCCAAGACCGCCGCCGACGCGCCCACCTCCGCCGCCGAGGCACCCGGACCCAGTGGCGACGCCGCCGCTGCCGACACCGCGGTACGCTTGCTCCCCCACATTTATTACCGTTCCTCGACCTAATTACAGTGCGGGCACATCGTTTTATCACTACTCCTGCTTAACGAGGCATTCGCCCTGTTTGCATGGCTAGAACGGTGTTTTTCTTAAACAAAATTTTAGCATAAATATAAACATCAGTATAAATTAAATTTCGACGAACAGCACGATTATTATTATTATAAGAAAAGAAGAATCTATCGAGCACTGGCACTTAGTCGAGCGTACAGTAGTGCACGTCCGCCGAACCCAACAAGAACGGGTAAATGCAAAATGAGTGCGGGGTCACCGTCGGTGGCAGAATGTAGCCGTTGGTGCGCCGGATAGAGACAGCAGGAGAACTGGGCCGTGGTGCCTCTCGCCCTCTGTTGGCCATTGCCAGCAAGTTGACATGCCGACACGCACGGCGACTGCTTCTGGACAGCGTGCGGTAGCCTCGTTGGTGCATATATGGTAAAAAATTGAATATAATCACTGTTTTTTAATTTTTCGTGGATGCGGTCGCACCCCTACCATGACTATAATTACAAGTATGAAACAAACACCAACTTCTGGCTCTATTTGCTTGACTTATAATCCGTACTTTTTGATTTGTCTTTTTTAATTGGAATAATATTTTTTTTTTATAACAAATCAGTCGAAACAATATTTTAGCTTATTTTTCCAGCTAAGCGGGCCATTAAAAGAAACTAGTAGGTTGCCCATCAGCAATATGCTATTTTTTATGATCGTCGCCAAACATTGTTTGGCCAGCCACACACGCACGACGGGTCGACGGCACGAGCTTCTCACCTGCTGTGGCGAAACATATAGATAATAACGCCCCGTCCTTGTAGTACTAAGCACTTAACGGCTTGTCCTCTGATCGCGTGCAAAACAAAAACTTAACATGTTTCGACGGAGTAGTTTGTTTATCAGTTGCGGTAGAAATGAGAAAAGGCTACTGAGGTGCTAAGAACAATCGACCCAAGATACATGATATATTCATTCTTGGGTGTGTGGTATAGGCAAAGGGTTTAATACTTATTTTTGTCTTCTCCAACAATAAGACTTAAAATACAAATCTTTTCTAAATAGGTCTCCAGGAGTGAGGATATTCAGATTTAAGTTATGCCTCTCCCGACACTTAAAATATGTCTTTCATTTAAGTACTCTGATACATGCTATAGATATGGTATTGAAGATTTATTTTGAGTTTGGGTTGCGCAATAGATCTCTATTTGCAGACAGACTAACCCTGTGCAAAATGTGTGGTTTTGCCGTGCAGAGCGCCGCAGGGAGGACACTGGCGGGCGTGATCGCGTCGGCCGTCGCCGTGGCGCTGGGCGCGGCGGCTCTGCTCGCCTAGATCCCGGGTGCTTTTGTGACTTTTACCACAGAATGGATGCTGCTGCTGCTACCCTTTTCCTGCTTTCACTTTTTCTTTTCTGTATTTTGTGAAAGGGGGCTGCTGGCTCTGCCTTTCTTCTGTGTAGTAGTAGGGCCCACATCACATCGATCGATTCACTTGTGCGGATGAATTATTTTGCCTTTAGTAGTCCAGATAATGATACGAGAGTGTGGTTAGAGAGGAGAGGGGACACTGCCGGCTGCTGGCTCTGCCTTTCTTCTGTGTAGTAGTAGGGCCCACATCACATCGATCGATTCACTTGTGCGGATGAATTATTTTGCCTTTAGTAGTCCAGATAATGATACGAGAGTGTGGTTAGAGAGGAGAGGGGACACTGCCCGTGTAGTGTTCAGATTTATTTATATTTTTGTAATATATTGTTATTCCTCCATTTCTGCGCACACTTGCATCGTTGGTTTCGTGTTGCTGGTACTTTTTTCTTCTTCTCATCATAATAAATTCATTTTTCTTGGATCATATAATAAATCATATATATCATAATACAGCACCAGCAGCCGCTGCAGTACTATACTATATGGGCCATTGCAGGCCTGCTGGGCCGATTGTTCAGAAGCACCAGCAGGCAGCAGCAGGTACTAGATGGGCCATTGCAGGCCTGCTGGGCCTATAGTTCAGACCTGTTGGATTGAATGACAGGCCAATGCGAAAAAGATGCAGATCTCTTAAAAGACGAATCTTGCATCATGCTCTCCGGCCTCTTATTTTGCCACGTCGTTGGAATTTTTCAGCCGTTGGATTCACGTGCTGACCTGGATCGAGCCGTCCACGCATCCGTTCTCTCTACCTCCCCTCCTCTCTATCTGTCGAGAAACCTCTCTCTCACGGCGGGGACGCGGTGCGGAGGCCGCACAGTGGGTCAGCGGCGAGGCAGCCATGGCGGGGCGCAGTGGGGCGACGTGGCCCTGGCCCCCGAACATGGCGAGGCAGACCCGCTCCCGGCCGCGGTGGCCCTGGCCCTCGGCCCCCGGCCCCCGGCCCCGGCGCGGCGGCAAGGTAGCCTAGGCGCGTGCGCGGCCGGCTCCACCGGCGCGAGCTCGGTGGGCCCTCGGCGCACGGCGACTCCACCGGCGCGGCAGCGCTCGGACGCCGCCCCCTATGCGCGCCTTCAGCATTGCCCTGGAACAGGGCCCAGAGCAGCACCCCGTGCTACAAGGTCTCGAGCGCCGCGGGGTCGGTGGAAAGCTCGCCGAGCCATGTCTCAAGCGCCGCGATCCATCCCTTTCCTTGTCGTAATAGTTGAGGGCAACAAAAAGGCGACTGGCGAGGCCACGTTGGCAGGGCAACCGGACTCATCCCCGGAGTAGGATGACAGCAAGGCGGAGTGGCTCAAGCACCCCAACGGCGTACTCCACTGGCAAGAGACGCACGGGAGAGCGAGGCGTTTACAGAGTGTCTGCCTCCATGGACCAACACCGCCTCCGATTGCATGTGATCTTGAAGAGTGATTGGAAAAAAGTCATTTTTCTTTTCCCCTGGTACTTCGTTTGCTTCGATCTGTCTTTTATGCCTTTGGGGTTGCTTAATTGATTTCCACTCTACGGAGGATAGGAGGAGCAGGGTAGTAGCAAAATGCTTTGAGATTCAGATGTTGTTTTGTGCATTTCAGTTTGCTGATTCTACTTTAGTTTTTGCCACATGGATTGCATTCCCGGTATCATTTAGAATTTTGATACTACTTCTATTTAATAAAGTTTTCATAGCCTATTATGCTGAAATTTGGCTTATGCTAATGTTTATACTGAAATGTTGTGAGACGAAAACACTGTTGCATGGCTGAAAAATAGTACTGAATAAGCTCAAGCGAACACACTTGAGCTTATTGAGCACTATTTTTTTTAGCACGCAACCGATGATGGTCAATTTGTTTATCAGTTTTGTGCTAATGTGCACCATGCCCCGGCTCCATGCAGGGGCAACGCTGAAGTTAGCAAAGGGGACAGCCAATGATGCAGCGGAACTCACGTTCAGTGTTGTTCCATGTATTGATGCTTGGTCACATTGCAGATTGCCCTACCCATGACAAGCCATAAAATGATTGGTCAATACAGGTACACCGATTATATCATTGTCACAACGTGTCTTATTTTCATGTGATCTCATAGCAGTGTCTTATTCTCATTTAACCTCTCTTTACATTTTGAATCTACCAACTTCAGTTTACTACAGTCCATACCAAGAACAAAAAGTGATCTCTAAAGTGTCTAATGATGAATAGAGAGAATGAATTGTTGTAAAGAAATCAGATTAGTTGAATAGAGTTACAGTTCAGTTTTAAGCAGTATATCAACTCAGAGCATTATGAATACCACTATTTATTTTTTGGAAGGCACACATGATTAACTTAATTTACAATACAGCTCTATTTATATTAGTTAAACATTACTACCTATACCTCAATAATTTGCTTTATGACTCATTGCATATATTATGAATACGTCTCAATACAAAGTATTCATAATTTGCTTATATATGTTGTTTATATTCCTATTTCAGGATACAGATAAACCAAGTGGAGCTATCACTATTGTTACTGGGTTTCTATGTGGGATCAACCAATCTTGTCCCACCTCATCCCCTATACCAAACAATACTGTGATTTTCATTATGAAATAATTGTTTAGCTTCTTGCTGTCGATCAGTAGTTCCTCATTTAAAAAAAAAAACGAGCATAATCTGTTATCATCGTTTTGGGACGTGAAATATATGGTACTTGATCCTCACAGAGTCACAATCCTTGTTTCCTTTTAACATGTTCTCAAGGAGAAAAGTGGCAAGATCGATATTGTTGATGCATTCAAGGGTGGAGGCAGATCATCAGCTTGCTCTTGAGCTCGCATAAGAAAACTAACCTCTATCGAAAACACTGAATATATCTTAACTCAAAAGTGCATCCATTTAATAAATAATAGAGTACAAAAAGGCACCGATCAATATCAGGTGGTATTGACAATGTTTAATATGACTACATAAGATAAATTGTCGTGACATTTCACAAATGGATGCAATTTGATATTGGAGGTCCAATCATTCCTGTAGTTCACTTCCTGAGGTTATCTTGTACTCTTATGTTGATGTTTATTTTATGTTATAGGTCATAGAACATTCTTACCTTAAGCTGGCAATGAAGCGTGTTGTGCTTCTGTTAGTTGCATAGTAGTATTCTTTAATAACAAAAATGGACAGCCCCCTCGCTCACTTCTGGTATGGAAGCTCTACATTCTTTCAGATGCATCATGGATGCAGCTTTTATGTTTCTGTGGAACTTGTTTACTAGAGCTTATTTAAAATCGGTCAGACACATTAGGCCATATTATTGAACTCTATTCAAACTGGTTTCAAAACAGCAGCACTCCATGTAGCCGCGCAGCAACGCCGCGCGTTGCTTTCTAGTTTCGGTACGAAATCAAACACGGCCTTTGGAAGAGTTCCTTCCCAATTTTCGTGAGTTGCAAACGGTGAGCCTCTCACAGTTGACAGTTCCACGGTGCTAAACCAAAATCAGAGCGTCATTTGGATTTTGGAGGACTCTTACATACTAGTTCTCAAAAAAAAAAAAAGTTGTAGGCTACTCCAACGCTTGAGCAACGGTCAAGGATTGGATTTTTTTTTTCGCGAGCAGGTCTTTTACCGTATTTCATTAAGAGGAAGGGCCTAAAAAGGGCTGGTGACCGGATACAAAGGACTCATAAGTAATCCACGAATTACCCACGAAATCCCCAATACACAAAACAAACAGCAAGAAAACATGATAAGGGAGAGGGGAACCTCCACCTCCACACACCACCCAACTATGCCTGCAAAAGAAAATTACATCCACGCAATGGTCGCCAGCAGATTGTGGGTCAAGCCACGGTGGCAAAGCATCCACCAATAACAGCGGCAAAGCATCCGCCAACGAACCAAGCTGCAAAGCATCCGCCAACGAACCAAGCGGCATAGCATCCACCAACGAACCAAGTGACCACGGTGGCCAAGCATCCGCCTAGAAATGGGTCCACACAGCCTCGACAGCAAAGCATCTGCACGAGGGGAGATCAACGACAACGACGACGGCAAAGCATCCGTCAGGTAGAGACGACAGTGGCGACACCAAGCAAGCGAAGAGGAGATTGGTCAAGGATTGGATTGGAGATCATTAAGGAGGAGATTAGTTCATTTCCTGCTTAATCTCATTGAATCCTCACCATGGACTCCCACGAGCTCTTTCTCCCTGGCGAGTGGCGATCTCTGTCGCCGCTGCCTCCTTCCCGACCGGCCAACGGCCATGGCCTCCTAGGATCACCTTGACCTGGTTGTTGTCAGTGCAAACTGCAAAGTGGCCACAGGAATTGCTCGAGCAGAAGTTGCAACTTGCAAGTGGCGCGTACAGGGTACTCGACGAAGAATAGCAAATGATTATTTCACATATACATATACATATGAACGAGCTTAAATTTACAGGTTCATGTTTATATTCGACAATACAAAGATACTACGGAGAACAAACGTGTTTATCACAATAAGGCATTACAAGTGAAACTTTTGATTCCTGGGAAACAGTTGATACCTGACCATGCATGGTAACTGAAAAGATCGATGTCGCTGCAAGCATTAGGGAAACTAACGAGGAATAGTAAAATCGAAGGCATTCAAGGAACAATCTTGTAGGCCTTCATCTTGTCGATCCACGTGTTAAACAACTTCACCGTGTCGCGGAAGCCGAGGAACCCGTGCTCCTTGCTCTTGTTCATGCTGTCCAAAAGCTTCCAATTGGCGCCGTGCTCATAGACCACGACGTCGATAAGCCACCAATCGGCAACGTCGTGGAGGCGTGTCTCCACGAGCTCGTTCTCCTTGACAATCTCTGCCCACACCGCCTCCTTCCCGGCCATGGCCTCCGACACCTTGAACTGCTTCTCCTCCCCGTCGTACCCGGACCACTCCAGCCCGAAACGCGCGGCAAGCATCGGCCACAGCGTCTTCCAGTTGTAGAGGTCTCCGTTGTTGCAGTTGAACGCCTGATTCTTGGCCATGGGGTCGACGGCCGCCCAGATGTGCTGCTCGGAGATGAGGTCCGCGTCGGAGGCATTGCTGAAGCCCTCCCAAGAGCCGAGGCACCCCGGCCAGCGCAGCGCGACCGCCTCCTTGCGGCAGATGGCGGCGTACACGCAGAGGCTGCAGACGACGTTGAAGACGCTCCGTGAGGAGAAGCCGAGGATGAGGTTGGGGCGGTGCACGGACCAGCTCACGGCGCCGCCGCGCCGGGAGACCGCGTCGAAGAGGATGTCCTCTTGGTCGTAGTAGAAGTTCGGGCAGTCCCGGCGCGGCACATCCTCGGTGTAGGGCGGGTCCGGGGTGGGGATCTTGCCGATGAGCTCGAAGGGTCCCAGGTAGTGCTTGGTGCCCGTCTGGAGGGAGACGTGGGCGAGGGCGGGGCAGTTGGGGACGACGACGGAGAGCACGTTGCTGAGCATGGCGGAGTTGGCCTCCCGGTTCTCCGCCTCGGTAGCGCGCGGGGACCAGGCGACGTAGAAGACGTGGGTGATGTCGGTGAGCGGCGTCAGGGCCTCGGCGACGGCGGCGGAGTCGGTGACATAGACGTGTACGTGTGTCAGCGAGGAGGATGACGGCACGGACCAGGGCGGGGGTGGACGGCGGGAGAGCGCGTATACCTTCCATGGCCCGCTGGGGGTGTCCGGCAGCGGGAGGATGTCGACGAGGGAGGTGCCTACTATGCCGGTGGAGCCGACGACGAGGGCGACGCTCTGGAAGCAATGCTGTGGCACGGCGGCGAGCTCATCCTTGCGCTCCCTGACTGCGCCGACAGACCGTGCCCACCACCAGCTTAAGCGCATTGCTGCCCGCCGGTAACCCTGCAGACTCAATGAAGGGTGAACAGGAATTGCAAGTGCAGCGTGTAGTGTAGGTGCAGAAACATAGGTTACATTTATTTATCCCATTTCCTAATGGTCAGATGCCTGAGTTGTTCTAACTTTGTGAAGCGATACCGTATCATCCCTTGCATTTTTTTTTCTCACGCGTGTGCTGCATGCGCCACCTTATATATTACCTGTTTGACTGATAGTTTTTATGGTTAATATGTCGGCTGATGCTGTTTTGTTATGAGAAAAAATATTATATTATAGCTGATAAGGTAAACTGATAAATTCAAGCGTACCGGTTGAAGATTCGTTTCCTTGTTTCTCAAAGCGTACCGGTTGAAAATGGTTTCAAGTTTCAACGCCGTAGGCTCAGAGCTCTAGCTGCGTCTTCTGCGCAGTCAGGTTGGCTAACAAGCGGCTAGCTAGTTGGTTGCATCATTGTATGCCCTGATAGCCAACAGCAGGTGGGATGGGACGAAAGCCTTTTCCCTTTTTCATGAAAAAATGCACTACCAGTCTTAAAACTTGTCTTGTGATGTCATCAAGGTACTCAAACTCTCAAAACATATTTTCAGACGCTTAAAATGTCTTTAGAATCATCTAGGAACAAAGCGCTCAAAAAATTATTTTTAGACCCTTGAACTTGTCACAATGTGTCCTTTAGGTCTAAACGAGTTCAAACAAACCCACATGTCGACCTTTAGCGCATCATCTACATGCTCCCTCTCTTCTAGCTCCCTCTCCATGCCCGCCTCCCATCTCTCGGTTTTCCAATCTTGTGTGGCATTGCACCACAATCACCAACTCTTCATCCCAACCCATGCCTTCATCATCCTCCGGTTCAAAAGTCAAGATGCCATCGGTAGTGGTGGCGGCAAGGTCAAATCTAGTTCACCTTAGGCAGAGAGGTAGGTATACCATTGCTTTATCATTAAGTTCCTACCCCAGTGTAACACCCTTGGTGTTACCCCGTTAATCATATACTAAAACATGTCATGAGCATCATACATGTGTGTTAATGCATGTGGTGAAGTGTGTAGATCTATTTCTGTAACTCAAAATGATCAATAAAAATGTTAAACGAAAGTTGGTTCGATGGTTCATGCATATCAAGTAGGGTTTAAAACCAATTTTTATTAAGCAAAAATACTATAGGACATGTGTGTGATACTTAAATAAAGTTGGAAGTGCAAACTTTGTAGATGACAATGAAATACTTGCTGTTGAAAAAGAATATTGCCAAGTAATATTTTCAGTAGCTTAGAAATGCAATATGAAATTAAGATTAGCTCAAACGCTTAAAAAATTTCTAAGTATGTGGACAGCTAGACACCGCTATGTTTAGCAATTTATTTGGAGAGATTAGGTTAATGAGTGGTGTAGTGCTATCATTCGATTTAGTAGTTCCATATGCCATCTTAAGTGTAGTGAAGCCGGTTTAAGTTTAGGAGCAACGGTTTGGTCGTGATCAGCACTTTAAAATTCATGCACGTCACAACTTTGTGTTGTTTGGCGCCGTGCGCGTGGTCACCACGCGTGGTCGACCCATGTCGCCGCGCGGTTGGGCCGTGTCACCGTCGCCTTGCCATTGATGGCACTACGGCGCGTGGGCCACGCCAGTCACGAGCGTGCGTGTATGTCGGCTAGTGCCTGTCCGCGGGCTGCGCCGGTCGCGCCAACAGCGTCTCACCAAGGCACATCCTTGCCGAGTCGCTGGCTGCCCTCCCCCACCGCTCCCTCGCTCTCTCTCTCTCTATGTTCTCATCTCCCTGCCGCCATTGAATCGTACCGGCGCCGCAGCTGCGAGGGGTCACATCTCATCAATCCCTCTTGTCCGCGCCTCCGCCCTCACGTCCCCTCTCTAGCCGACCCACCCCGCTTTGATTGCGGCTCAACCGAGCCTCAATTTTGGAGCTTCGCCCCGACACCACGCAGTTAAGACCCTTCACCGCCCGCGCCATGGCCAGCCTCCACCACTTCACCCCGCACAAATTCCTCTGCACCACTAGCTCGCCTTGGCTCCCTCTCCTCCGTGCGCACGCCAGTGGGAGCGCTACCACCACCCCGCCGCCGCTGACGCGGCCGTGTCCACCGCTGCTCGTCGCGCGTACGTGGCCAGCCCTGCTCAGGTAGTCGCTGGCCAAACCACCACTTTGGCGGGGTTCACGGTGTGCCTCTAGTGCTTATCCCCTATCTCTACCGTCCTGTTAGCACTATAGCTCACCAAGATGACCGTGCACCATCATGGGCGACCGTGCGCGGTGGCAGCTTGCTCCTGTGCGCTCTGTTGCTCCGTATCGGCGCTTAGGGTAGGCGTTAGGGTCGTCGATGGGGTTTGGCTCGTTAGTTGGGTCGGTACGAGCCTCGAGTGGTCGGCGTACCGCCTAGTGCCACCGTCTGCTGCGCTGGCAAGCGCGGGGCGTCTCGGGGACCTCTTTGATTGAAGGTGAAAAGATACGAGGGCTCAATTGCAAAGTCGTTGTCTATAGAAATAGTACGTGTAGTGTTCGCGCTATTGTCTGATAATGCGAGGGCGTTTTTGCAAGAGTGCCAGTGTCGCGCGGGGGCTCCCCGCCACGGACCGCCTCCGCGCGTGGGTCGCGTTGGTCCAAAATTGGTTTATTTTTTTCATGGAAAATAGAAATAGCTTTTCATTTTAAGTCTGAGCTGAACTTAGGTAATTAATATAAAATAATATATATATCCAAAAATTGTGAAACTAATTTTGTTAGGTTCCCAAAAACATTGTCTACCTATTAGTATAGTTAGTTCATACATATCTGTGTGGTTGCTAAGGAGCAATAAATAGTTGAGATGCTTAGTATTATTTTGATTAATAATTGTAGGAATTCTTGTGGTAGATTGGTGATAGCAAAAACTCTAAAATTTTTATAGTAGCTTCATTGTATTATTATGTGTTCACTGTAATTTTTGTAGCCCTAGAATAGACTACTTAATAGGTAGCTAAATACCATTAAGGCTAAAGGAATAATGGCATGATATTGGTTTATAAAAGTTAAGCACTTGTAAGGTGAGCTTGAAATCTATTTGGTAGAGATAATGATTAGCTTAGTATCTTAGTCATTAGAGCTAGCTTAGTAGCTTAGCATGTGTATTCTTATTTTAAGAGTTGCTGTTGCAAAAATACAAAGTGTTGCATCATCATTGCATGCATGTAGAGAACGAGTTGGTGGAGTTCATGGCCACCGGAGAGCAGGAGTACGAGGAGGTGATCGAGGAGTACAAGAAGGAGGTCCTCGTATAGGAGGAAGCCCCACCGCCACTGATGACTGACATAGCTGACAATCCACCTGCCCAAGGCAAGCCCCGGTGCATAACCCTTATTTTGAATAATCATTGTTATTACTCTCATGATAAAATGGTGAAAGGAAATAGAGACTGGGCAAGGATATGGTACGGGTATTGGTGGGTGTAATAGGTTGTGTCCCGCGGCCAACGGGGCATAGCTTGGTTACACTGTTTTCTCTGTTTGTATCAGTTAAGGACCGTCCGTTGCTGTGGATGGTAGTCAGGTCACAGACTTATTATCTTGAGCACATACTTGCTTATGGGAGCGGGAAGGCTCGTTGCTCTCTTATCGTGGGTTCCGTCTCTTTCTAGACCGACTAATTGGAGGCGGGGATGGTGGAGGTCTAAGCACCACACTGAGTCTAGGACTCAGGAGTGGGGGCTTTGAGTCCAAGTTTGGACGGGGACCTGGACCCCTTGACAGGAGAGTGGTGGGTTAGTCTTGCTTGTGCTTGAGGTACAAGCGGGGCGTGTGTTTTGGGGGTACCCAGCGGGGATACATTGGTTTGCGAATCGCCATGTGATATGGTACGACTTGGCTATGGTCTAGCACCGTAGTAAGAACTGGAAGATGAATAGAGATGAATGGATCTGATTGCTCAACTCTTGCTTCAAAGTAGAACAGGTGCTTACATAGAATGGTTAGCTAATGAACTAATCATGACTGCTAATAAAACACATACATAAGGATTAACTACTATTAATTCTTTTCATAAAAAGGAAACCCTACAAACCATAAAGCTTATCGTATCCTTTGAAGTCGGGAAATTATTCCCACTAGTCGGGTAAGTCTTGCGAGTACATTATGTACTCATGGTTTATTTACCCCTGTTGCAGGTGCAGCTTGAGGAGTGGTTGTTGTGTGGAGGATTCTTCTGGTGGGCACAGATGGATCCTTGTATCTTATCGTTAGATGTTTATTTCAATTCCGTTGTTTAAATTCTGCACTCTGAACTTGGTATTGTAATAATGTATTTCCGAGAACTCTTGTTGTATGAAATGGACTAAGTATTGTAAACTCGTTCTCATTATTGGATTCTAGATTAAAAACGTGGATTGTTCGAGTTCTCCCTTGGGATGTGCTCGACGAAACCACCTAGTGTAACTTACTTTCGGGGTGCTTAGTGTCTAGTGGAAGACGAGCGCCTCTGAAAGCGTGTTATTTCGGGCAGTTCTGCCACACCCAGTCAAGAACAAGGTGTAGATAGAACTGTAATGGTATGTGGTGTCGTGATGCGGAGTAGATCGTGGGAGTTCATGGACTTAGATAACACGCTAAGACAAATCCTATGGTTTAAAAATAGCATTTTAAAAGTTTAGGGGCCTAAAGGACACATAAAGACAAGTTGGAGGATCTAAAAATGTATTTAAAAGGTTTGGAAACCTAAATGACACACCTGGGACAAGTCCAGAAACCGTCATGTATTTTACTCTAAAAAAATCAAGCCGCTTGCATAATTTAGTATTCATGAACATGCAATTTTGCAAAATAATTAGTACTATGAAATATTTATCATACCAATCATTTACTAAAGAGGTATACTCGAACCAAATTAATACAAATAATACTTTGTGGCGATAGAGTCATATGAGTAGCCATCAATATTAATGTGGTGTCGAATTGTATCATTACTGTACTAGGCAATTGACGCATAGCAAACCAA